CAACATGCTCCCCACATGCCATAATGTACAGAGTTATTCCTAAGACTTCAGAGACAACATGTTTCCCACATGCCATAATGTTCAGAGTTATTCCTAACTATAGAGAGAACATGTTTGGCTCTTACATTTTTTCTGTGTGAAGTTCCTCATCAGATTTTTAACTTGTGATGCTCAGAATGCCTGGAAAGGGGAAAAGGAACGCTTTTGAGTTCTTGTTTCAGGTGTGCAGTTAGAACCTTAGCTCTTGTTGGTACTGTGATGAAATGAGAACAGACTCAGAAAGGCTCCACCTGCTGGGACTCTGAGATCATAGTAAGCGCAAGGCCTCTCAGCATCACAGAAAGACCACGGCTTCCCAGAGTTCTCTATGAGCAAAGACCTAGAATTCAAAGTAGACACCTGGGAATTTTGTGAGCTGTGGTTTAAACTTTTGAGACCTGATGCCTCTGACATGCATTCAGACATAGTGGGTTGTATCCCAGGAGCCTCCCGAATGCTGTGAATAAGTCTGGGATTCTCTTCTACAGGTCTGCTTTCCCAGCTCTGCCTCTGCTTTCCCAGCACTGCTGTTTTACTCTGGACATAGGATTTGGCTAGAGAGAGAAAAACAGTGTTAATTTAGAGAATTCAAAAGCTTCCCATAGTCACTCAGTTTCCCTTAGAGAGAGAGAACCACCAGAGAAGAGGTGGGCCTATCTAATGTCTTTCTGTAAACAGCTGTGGCCATAAGCCAACCCTCTATAGTGAAGACAGGCCTGCCATCCCCTCACCTGGAGCTGGACTCCCAACCTGCCCAGGTGTAACATTTGTGGGCAAGGGGAAGTGGATGTTTTGTATGTCCTGACTACAAGCCTCGAAGTGGGGCGTGTTGACCTGAACAGATGGCTCACTGTCCTGCCTGCACTCCTGGCATTCCTAGAAAACTTGTCTCAGAGGTGCAGGTGGAAGGATGGCCCAGGAAAAACAAAGCCCAGCCTTTAATCCAGTACTGGGGAGGCAGAGGCAGGTGGATCTCTGTGAGTTCGAGGCCAGCCTGGTCTACAGAGTGAGTTCCAGTACAGCTAAGGCTACACAGAGAAACCTTGTCTTGGAAAACAAAACAAAAACAAAGCCCAAGCCTGACCTGTACCACACCCCTCCCTATGGTGAAGAGAACCAGCAGCCCAGATTAGTATCTCTCTGCTTCCCTTGATTTAGCCTGTCTTGTTCTACCCTTTTTAAATATGGCCCTAGTTGTCTGAAATACTGCTTGGTACCCTACATCCTGTTTGCCTGGGTACAATTCTCTTCAGTTGAAGTGATGGAGGTGACCCAGAGTCTTCCCTGGCAGGCAAAGCCCCCTCATGGCATAGATGGCACAGGACATGTTCTGTTTCTTGTTCCCATGATATAGTCCCACACTGTATAATGATGTTTCAGTGACTAACAGACCACATGCAGTAGTTTAGAGTGCGGTAGTTCTCTGTACTATCTCCATGTGTATAAGCGCACTCCATGACGTCATAGTGCGACATCACTGAGCATATGACGGGTTCTCCTTCCTTTTCCAGCCTGCCTTTTCACCTTGTCTCTGGATGGATCAGGACCCTTGACCTCCCTGGCTGTTGGTGACATCACCTCCTTGTTATGTGCAAGTTTCTACAGAGGGGTTCACATACTCAGCGTGGACTGCAGCCAAGAGCTGGCGCTGCAGGAAGTGGCAACCTTCTAAGGCCAAGACCCTGACTGGACAACATCAGACCATAGCCCTCCTTTCTCTGTGGCTTTGTGTTTTTGCGCATGATCTTGGGGAGTGGGGTTCTTTTCTTACGGTCACTTAAAAGGCATATCTGGGTTAGATGTTGATTTAAGTCCAGTGATTACAAAGTCAGAGTGTGGTCCAGGCTGGTCCTGAACTCATAACCCCAGTCTCCTGACTGTTGGCATTAAAGGTGTGAAACTGCACACCCAAGAAAATTCAGGTCTAGAAACATGGACTCAATATAAAGTTCTTAATCTCAAGGAAATCCAAATGGAATTTTTATCCAAATGTGAGCTTTTGGGACTACTCTTCAAAAGAAATGTACTTATTGCTCAAGATGATGGCTGGGACCTAAGAGTGATAAGCCTCTGTGAGCAGGAAAACGCGGGCTGGCGTCTCCATGAAGGACAATGTTTCGAGACAAATCTAGTTGGTAATAGTGTTGTTCCATAGAGGAAGTGGATGGCAGACAGTGAGGTTAAACGCAGTCACCTCAAAGCCACTTAGGGTAAGAGAGCAAAGGCATCTAACCAGGGGGCAATGTGAACAAGAACAAGGACACTGCCCCAAATTACAGGAATTATTAAGTCTGCCCCATGCACCAAAAGGCAGAGGGGATGGGAGACTAAGGCTAAGAAATATGCATCTGTAATTTGGGTATTTTTATTTATATAAGAAACACTGTACACCCGCATGCTCCCTACCTCTCACCCCTGGGAACGACCAGAGGCAAAGGAGTCACCTCTGGAACACAGAGAGATGGATTCAACTGAGTCCGGCAACCGCGCACCCTTCAGTGAGGAGGGGCCAGGCCACTGTGCAGCTCCCACAAGTCCAATCCTCGGCTTGGAGCTCAGAAGTCCATTTTGCTTTGGATGAGTCCTAAAATAAGGCACCCAAGGCCTGACCAGAGAATGGCCACCTGTGTAACTGTGGATCATGCCTGTCCATAGTTCAGAGCTGGCTGCCATTTCCTCTCTGCCTCCTGTTGTCCCCAGGGTCAGGGGGTTCCTCACTTGTGATATGGTACTCAGAACCATACCTCCCTCATAGGGCTGTTCCTGAGGGCAAGCTGCAAAGGAGTCAGGCAGTATCCTGTCTAGACTGAATGATCCTTCACAATAAACATTTGCCTTCCTTCATCTGTCTTACTTTCTAATCTTTCAGCCTTTCAGTGCCCTGATTTGTGGATGACAAGGGAGTAGTGTGAGAGGGAGTTACTTCATTGAATACCTACAATAGGCTAAGTAGAGTCTCACTAAATGCCAAATGATGTTCCCATTTCATATATGGAAAAACCAAGGCCCAGAGACATGCAGCACTTTGACCACAGTATAAGCAAGCACAGGAAGGGGAAAGACAGATTTGAATCTGGGTCTGCCTGACTTGAAGCTGGGCAGCCCTCTGCCCCCTTTTGCCTTTGCTATTTTAGACATTCATAGACCATGATGTTAGTTTTATTTTATTTTTGAGACTAGTTATTAATCTAGTTCTAGAGATTAAATTTAGGGTATCATTCCTGCTATGCCACTGAGCTGTCCCGTTGCCCTGGCTTAACTTCTGGCTCTAGTGGGCTCCTGGGGGCTGTAGACAGGTCACCTCTTAGGACAAGGAAACCCTAATGTGTGCTGGATGCATAGTGCTACAGCTGATAGATTCTTCTGGATGGAGGCAGTAAGAAAGGAACAGGTCCGGTGGGGTCCCCCTGGTGAGTTAGAGGGTTCCGCACCAATATCGTTCCTTCCTGAACTCTGCCTATGTGCTTGATGCCAAATTTCCCATCTGTGCCTGAGAAGCAGAAAGATGAGCAAATGCTCACATTTAAAGAGCGTTTTAAAAGTTATTTTAGAGCTGGGCAGTGGTGGCACACACCTTTAATCCCAGCATTTAGGAGGCAGAGGCTTGTGATTTCTGTGAGTTTGAGATAGCCTCGTCTACAGAGTGAATTACAGGACAGCCAGGGCTACACAGAAAAACCCTGTCTCAAAAAAAAAAAAAAAAGTTATTTCAGATCCTAATTCGCATACTCTCGGTGTCTAAGATTCCAGGCGCTGAAGTCACTCTTCGTTTTAGAGGCCACCCTGTGCACTCATATAAGGGAATGCTCTTCGTTTTAGAGGCCACCCTGTGCACTCATATAAGGGAATGCTCCAGGTGGTTAACATTTTCCTTCCCAGAAGTCTATAAGCCCTTGGAATCTTGTCATTTATAGATTAAAATTTAAACACATTTATATATTAACATTTATCATTAGGATAAACATACACTAAGGAAAATGGGTGGTAATTATTAATGGTCTTCACATAGCCTAGGGTTAGCAGCAAAGTGCAGGACTCAGGTTACTTGGAGAGTATAACCTCTCAGCACTGAGGAGTAGGGCCTTGGCCATGCTGAGTGGTCCTTCAAAGCCAGTGATTAGACAGCAGTTTCATCATAAGCACTAGAGTTGGCTGTGGTGGTAGGGGCCTGTGTCCAAGCATGTTGGAGGTAGAGCAGGGGTCAGGAGTTCGGGATCATCCTCACCTACCTCACCAATACAGTGAGTTCAGACCAAGCTTGCCACCTGCCCATATCCCGCCCCACCCCCCCGCCAAGTTACAAAGACTGCTAGTTGTTTGCCCAAAGTTGGCACATTTTGGCACAGGTTGGCCAGCTAATTCTACAGTCCAGCCAGATGTGCTGTGGGATTATGGTCACTGCTCTCATCAATTAGCTTGAAAGGAATGAAAATGTGGGTCGGGATGCCCTCAGGCCCACTCCCACTCCCCCCACTAGAGGAGTTTGGGGGTTTGATAAATGCTTCTGCAGCCCAGATGAGGTCAGAAAGGTTGAATGGCCAGGGCCCTGGGTCACCATGAGTTGAACTGCTCTGCCTGCCAGTCTGGCTACACTGTTGCAGATAGAGAAACGAGCCTCTTTAATCTACTACATAATTATTTTACTAGGTTTAGTAAAATAATTTTACTAAAGGGATTTTGAGATATGAGCTTAAATCTCTGAATTTTCATAACTTGAGAATATTTTAGAAACCAAGACCTAGCAGCAGATGTGTGCAGGACGTGGAACCAGTAGGCTGCACAGTTCCAGATGAAGTTGGGCAGACCCAGATTAAATTCTGCCCTCCCTTTCCTATGCTTTGTAACTGTGGGCAAATTGCTGCATGTCGCTGGCCCTCAGCTTTCCCGTCTGTGAAATGGGAACATTGTTGGTCACTTTAGTTTGACCCTCACAGCCCTCTACATTGACAGGAGAAGAAGCTACACGGCAGGAACGAGGTCGTATGAATGACGTCACTGTGGGCCTCCAAGCTCAGTCAGCCTCAGCTCAACACAGCCGTCAGTCCATGATCCACCCTTGCTTTAGGACTATATTTGGTGTGTTTGTGATGCTACGAGAGACGCAGTGAAACAAGCATGGCCTGGCCAGGCTGCTTTTGTGCAGCATGTTTGTGACATTGACGCCATCCTCGTTATTGGGTAGGGGTCTCCGTGCATGGAATTGGTACTTGGGCAGTTTCTAGTTTGGAACTCACATGACATTGCTCCTGGAACATCCTCATAACAGGTCTTTGGGTGTGCAGATGCTTGTGTCTGTGCTGTGGGACAACGGCCAAATATATGTTGGCTTGGGAGAGAAAAAGAAAAGGAAAATGTCCTTAAAAAAAGAAAGAGAATAGTTGGGTATGGTGGCACACACCTTTAATCCCAGCACTTGGGAGGCAGAGGCAGAGGCAGAGGCAGAGAGATCTCTGTGAGTTCAAGGACAACCAATCTATAGAATGAGTGCCAGGATAGCCAAAGATGCACAGACATCTAGTCTCAAAAAATCAAAAATTAAAAATAAAAATAAAAGAAATAGTTTAAAATAAAGCCATGTAAAGATGGGAAATACACAGAAAATATGAATATTGTAGGTTATTGTGTTGTCTTTGAATGGTTTGATGGCTGAGGAAGGAGCAACAGCTGCCAAAGACATTTGCTGCTGGATTAACACAACATACATATTCTGAAAATGCTTTGACTTCAAAATTTAAATAAAAACATATGTTTCTTTGGAGAAGAGGTTTTATTTTTGTTTCCACAGGAAATGAGAGGCTGTGGATTCATTCTGGGTTGAGAAAAATCAGGTTTGATCAAGGAAGACCCCTGAGAAATCTCTAGTAGGAGTGGATGGCCCAGATGATCCAACATTTCAGAGGACCTCTGTTGGAGTTTCCTCTGAGTTCTACATACAGAACAGTTTCAAGACTGCTGGCTGAAATGATCAAACCTCATAGAATACTCCAGTCAGGACTTGATCATAATTCTGAATTTTCTTTAGGTCCCCATAAGATTATCAGTGTCCCCAATCAGCAGGAAGTAGCCTGGAAAACTATGCCCACATTTCCAAAAAATGGATTATGGATATTTTCCTTTGTTTAGAATGTTGGTTACAAGTTGTTATGGATAATGGTCAGAAAAAAAGCTAAACAAAGGAGATTGGATTCAGAGTTATTGTTTTGAAAAAAAGGGGGAAGTGCTGTGGAACAATGGCCTTGTACCTTGTCACTTATATTGTATTATTTTAATAAAACACTGATTGGCCAGTAGCCAGGCAGGAAGTATAGGCAGGGTGACAAGAACAGGAGAATTCTGGAAAGAGGAAAGTCCAGTCTACAGTCATCACCCAAATGCAGAGGAAGCAAGATGAGAATGCCTCGCTGATAAAGGTACTAAGTCTCGTGGCTGAATTATTGGCTAATGTAAGTTATAAGAGTTAATAAGAAGCCTGAACTATTAGGTCAATTAGTTTATGATTAGTGTAGACTTCTGTATGTTTCTTTGGGGTTGAATGGCTGCAGGACCAGGCTGGACAGAAACCTCTGTCAACATGTCTGTGCCCGCTCTATAACGAGCAGAGCAGAGACCTTGCTCAGCGACTGGAATTCCTGCAGTCGACTTTCATCGATACTGCCAGATGTTCCCCCAAAGAACCTGTGCACTCTACTCTCGAGCACATGGCAGGGGAGTCAGAGTTCCAGCTCTTCACCTTTGCCCACCCTTAGTGCTTTGAACTCCGCAACCTTCCGTTATAAAAATAGAAGTGCTGATGCTGGAGAACGCACCCAGGTGTGAGTTCCAGGGGCCGCAAATAGAACTTGGCTGGCCCAGCTGGCTTGGCCATGTGCCCTTGTCCCTGAGACTCCTGTTCAGAGGTCAGAATTTCACACTAAAGCCTAATGTGCACCTGGTGTTTTACACTCTCACCATCACAGCCACGTTTGCACCTTCCAAAAAAAAAAAAAAAAAAAAAAAAAAAAAAAAAAAAAAAAAAAAAAAGCTTTACTCTCTCTCCGTCCTACAGATGAGTGGAGGTCCAACAGCATCTGGTAGGCACACACCATGTGGTAGGCACACACGAGCTCAAGTCTTGGATACTTGGGCTGGTTCTTCCTGGTAAGGTCCTCTGCTTTTAGTAGTTTTATGGTGGTAGTCAGCCTGAAGACTGAAGGGGCTGGGGACAGGTAGGAAGTGTTTGTGCCTATGGAGATAAGTGACATTAAGTCTAAACATTACACAAGAGCACTCAATTCATTCCAATATTATCTCTTCCAGATCTGGAACACAGTGGCCTGTCTGTTTTAAGTCCTGCACACAGATGGTTGAGAAGTACAGCCTCACTAGGCAGTGATGGGGCACACCTTTAATCCCAGTAGAGGCAGGTGAGTCTCTGTGAGTTCAAGGCCAGCCTGGTGTACTGGTGAGCTTCACGACAGCTGAGACTATGTAGAGATCCTGTCTCAAAAAAGCTAAAGAAAAATCTTTAAAATATATTGGCCATGGTTTATCTGGATATGGGATGTAAGTGAAGCTCACATGCTCTCTTCTGCCTTGACTAGTTTTGCATTTGGAATACATCAGCTTTCTTTTGTAAACTTTTGAAATAGGTGATGCATTCAGATATTTACAAGCAAGAGTGGAGAGAGCTGCCCTTCTCCTCGATGTCTCTGTTCATCTGGTTCCTTCTGAAGATAGCCAATATGGACATATTTCCTGCATCTTATTTTATTTACAGGTAAGAAAATACATAGGATTTTTTTTCAGGTGTAGCTTTCACAGTAAAAAGATTGTCTGACTGGGAGGACAGAATGGAAAATGTATGGACTTCATTTTTTTTGTAAGTGCACTTCATTCATGCAGTGCCCATAGAGGCCAGAAGGGGATGTCAGATCCCTTGGGCATTACCAATAGTTGTGAACTGCTGTGTGGGTGTTGGGAACTGAACCCCAGTCTTCTAGAAGAGCAGCCAGTGCTCTTAACTGCTTCAGGATCTTTGTTTTGAAGTAAAGCCTTTCAAGCCTGCATGATTTATGATATAGAAAGATGGCAAAGTGGAAGAAAGGCTACCAAATGGTACACAGAGGTCAGCACAATGATTTATGAAATATATCTCTACATTTAAAATACAAAGAAAAGAGACAGAGGGACACACATCTCCAGATGTGTCAATGAGTAGCTCTCCCTGCAGGATCTGGGGTGAATTTAGTTCTTCCAGGAAGTAGTGTGGCTTTGATAGTGGAGCAATGACTTCATCTGTCCTTGTCTAAATGGAGAAGATGGTGAGAGGGTGTCATCAAGGCCAAGTTATGAAATCCACTGACCCTGGAGAATGTGCCTGTCCTTGTTCCTAAGTGTTAGCAATTCTATTCACCTGAGCTTCATAGTTTTTCTGTCCTAGATGTACCTTACAGTGAACGTTAGGCAGCAGTGATGGGGACAATGAGAGGGCATGTGTGGCGTGGAGCTGACATCCTGAGGACCCTAGAGAGCAGTGAACCTGCCCGCCCAGAGACTTCGATGCTGCGGGAGCCCCGTGGAAAAGTCTTCCTGTTGTTATTCTTTCTATGACGTCATGCCTGAGATGGGGAGAATTACAGGCCGAGAATGCCAAGATAATGGTGCAGGTTTCTAGTGCGGGTCGCTGCAGCTTCGGTGGGCAGCTGGGATTGCTCTGTGACAGCCCATAGTCTGCTCAACGAGTCTGCAGTCCACAGGAAACACCACTGCTCTTAGTGAGCTAACCTTCCCCACGGCGTCACCACCCCTCCCAACGGCGTCACCACCTTCAGCACTGTCACAAGCAAATGGCAAAGACTGGTTTGGGGAAAGACAAACTACATTTAAAGCCTAGCATCCCACCCTTGCCTCCTCACAGTCTAAAATACTCCATCCCCAAATCTTAAATTGTTCCAAAGTCCATGCCAAAAGTCTTATTTTGTTCTGGCACCAGCTATAAAGCCCAAAGTCCCATTTACCAGTCTGTGAAATCAAAGTAAGTTCTCTATATCCAAAACACAATGTCAAGGCCATCATAAAGTGGATACACTCCTGTCAAGACCATCATAAGGTCTCCTGTTCCAAAAGGTGACATAGACATAGGCCATCCGCCCCTAGTGCGGAATGTGGAAAACAGCAGCCGCTATCTCAGGAGGCTTCACTGCTCAGCTGGGGCTCATGCTCTGCACACACAGGGTGTGCCCAACAGTTTAGATCCCCTGTCCTCAGGGAAGGAAGGAAAATTTGAGGCCCTGGGTTCTAGCCTCAGTGCTGACAATTAGTGTCCATATTAGCTGGACTAACCACCTTGATACGCTGGGTCAGCCTGAGGACAGGAAGGGCTAGAAAAGAGAGCTGCACCAGTGTTAGAACAAATAATGAGATCGGCAGCCTAAAACCCTATCCTTAATCCCCAAATCCCCTGCTCTGAAAATCAAGATTTTTTTCATTAAATTTGATGTCAGAACTTCATATATTGACAAGGTGGTGGTGGTGCACAATTTTAATCCCAGCACTCGGGAGGCAGAGGCAGGTGGATCTCTGTGAATTTGAGGCCAGCCTGGTCTACAAGAGCTAGTTCCAGGACAGGCCCTAAAGCTATAGAGAAACCCTGTCTTGAAAAACCAAAAACAAACAACAACAACAACAACAAAATCCCCACTTCATGTATTGTGGCTGTGTGTTTTTTTTTAATTGTTCTAATGCCAGTATTCATAATAAACGGTAGAACATCATCCAAGACAGGGAAGGGTGTAACACCTGCACTACAGGACAGTCTGCGAGCCAGGCAAGGGCTGGTTGAAACACACACACAGAGAGAGAGAGAGAGAGAGAGAGAGAGACAGAGACAGAGAGACAGAGATATGGGTCATCCTTGAAACAAGAATGCCAACTTGAATCAAGTTTATTGTGTTTCAGGGCAGCTTATATAGATTTCCTTGACTAAATGCCATGTCCCAGCTCTCAGCTGCAAGCCACCAGAAACCACTCCCCTGTCTCATGCTCAGAGCAGCTGCAAGCATAACAAGTTGTTTCCTCTGGCAGGCAAGTCATAGGAAATTCAGGGTCTGGGGGTCCACAGTCCCCAACAGAGGGGTGCATAAGTTGATGACATCACTCGTTATGTTATGGTTAAGTGGAAGGTTTTTTAGTGTAGATACAAGGGATCATGCAGGCAGAGGCATCAGGCAGAGTCCAGAGAAGAGAGAGAATGTAGTAGACTCAGCGTAGGCTGGACGGGGAAAGGAGAACAGAGAGAAAGGGAGAGAGAGAGAGGAAGAGACCCGAGAGAGGGGCAAAGAGAGACGAGTATAGCTGAGATAGCAGGGTTATAGGGCAATGAGAAGATGGGGTGGGGTGGAAGTAGAGGCAGAAGAGCTAGGTTCTTGTGATACTGAGGGAGCCTGGAGACCAGAAGCCATTTTCCCTTCTGCCAGTGGTAGAGGGGAACCTGCTTCACCAGGTCCTGAGGAGTGCTGGCTTTTGACTAATGGCCAGAACTTGGATTTGACAGTATCTACAAGAACAGGAAAAGGCCACACCTAGGTTAAAGTGTCTACAAGGGCGACTGACCAATTAGAACTTCCTGATGAGAACTTTAAATTTGTTGATCCATAGTCAAAATTATCTTGTGTTATCTTCAGTCTCCATATTTGTTGTAGAAGGCTGTGTGTTCATTTCTTAGCTACCCAGACTCCTGAAATAACCACACAGAAACTGTATTAATTAAATCACTGCTTGGCCCATCACTAGAGCATATTCCTCGTACATATTAAATTAACCCATTTCTATTATTTTATATTTTATCACGAGGCTTGTGGCCTATGGGCAAGGTTCCACCTGGTAGCTGGTGCCTTTCCTCTCTGGCGGCTACATGGCATCTCTTTGACTCTGCCTTCTTTCTCCCAACATTCAATTTAGTTTTCCCTGCCTACCTCTATTCTGCTCTGCACAGGACCAAGACAGTTTCTTTATTTACCAATAGTATTCACAGCATGCAGAGGGGAATCCCACATCACATATTAGTCATTCATTGTCCATCTGTGTGTGTAACAGTAAACCTTTAAAATTTTTAGGAGACCACTAGCTTCTATCAATTCAAAACCTGAGAAATGTCATCAGATAACATCTGAAACGGATAACAGAATCTTTTCCTGCTCTGCTTAAGCCACTGAAAGACCTGGATAAATCCAGATCCCCCTAGCAGGAAAACAGAGCCAAAAATCTAGCAGGAAGAGAAGAATCAAAAATCTAGGATTAGCCAATTTCAGGGTTTCAGGAACTAGCTGAAGATAAAGGTAGATTGTAATCTTGAGAGTAATCTTGAGAAATAGGGAGATTCCCCCTAGTAATTATCATTGGTATAGGAACTAGCTGATTACGACCTTGAGAATGATCTTGAGAGGCAAGGAGTTGCCCCCTTGTAATCATCACTGGAATTTTCGGAATTTTCTGTGACACCCTCTCTGCCCCCCTTTCGGATTACTGGGCTGCGTGGTTTCTTCCTATAAAAACTACTTCTCCCTGTCACTCGAGGTTGAACTCTTCCCCTGCGTGGGTTATGAGTCTCGGCCCCAGTGCACTGGTCCCATCTTGTCGTCTTGTCGTCTTGTCATTAAACCTCGTGTGATTGCAGCAAGGACGGTCTCTCATGAGTTACTGGGGGGTTTCGCGTCATCCCGAGGCTCGAGTGAGAGTCTCCCCTAATCGGGGGTCTTTCACCACTATGTTTATTAGAGGGTGGAGAGATGGCCCATAGCCTAAGAGGATCTGGGTTCTGTTCCCAGCACCCACACAGTGGCTCATAAGCACCTGTAACTCTGGTTCCAAGGGATCTGAAGACCTCTTCTGGTTCCCATGGACTCCTGCATGCACGTGGTGCACATAAGCTCACACAAGGTAAACATATACACACATACGTAAATAAACCATTTTAAAAGAAGCCTATGTAAGCACTTCCATGGCAGGACATCCCATCAGGACAACCTGAGTCTGCATCCCTGGGCTGTGGTCACTGATTCTTGGCTCGGAGGAAACGATCTCTTACTCTTTCAAAGTGACATTGTGCTTTGCATCATCGGGTTCAAATGCGAGGATGACCCACTTTCTCTAGGACGTCACCAAGGTCAGTGTGAAGTCCTATCATGGGATGTCCATCGGGCGGGCGCTGGTCCGCTCTGAGCTGGCGGTGGATGTTCTCGCCTGTCTCCTGCCCTTTCTTCCTGTTTCCTGGGGAGTCACCCAGTGTGTTGGGCTTGTTTTATGTCAACTTGACTCAAGTTAGAATCATTGCAGAGGAGGGAGCTGCAATGGAGAGAAAGCACCTCCATGAGATCAGGCTGCGGGTCAGCCTGCAATGGCATTTTCTTAATTAGTGATTGATGGGGGAGAGCCCAGCCCGTTGTGTGTGCTGCTCTCTCTGGACTGGTGGTCCTGAGTTCCATAAAAAGCAGGCTGAGCAAGCCAAGGGAACAAGCCAGTAAGCTGCACCCTCCATGGCCTCTGCACATCAGCTTCTGCCTCCAGGTTCCTGCTCTATTTGAGTCCCTGTCCTGACTCCCTTCAGTGATGAACAGTGATGTGGAAGTCTAAGCTAAGTAAACCCTTTCCTCCCCAGGCTGCTTTTAGACATGGTGTTTCATCACAGCAGTAGTGACCCTAAACAGGACACCTCAGATATGACACCAATGACTGACTAGAGAGAAATGGTTCCACCCGAGACTTCCTTGGTGAACCAGTGAGTTTATTAGGGTCACTTACAGACTTCTGCTTGTCTTAGAGTAACTATGACTCCACTGGCACTTGCTAGTAACGATACTTGAAGATTTGGGGTTCTTTTAAACAAATTTATACAGAATAATTCATCTCCAATAAAAACATTATTTATGATGTTTTATCCTCTTGCCTACTTCCTTCTGAGATAGCCAGTTTCTCCTTAGGCCTGGTCCCCCACCTTGGCTGTGATCCACCAGGTCTTATGACCCTTAGCTCACAGGACTTAAGGTACTGCTTAGGCCAGGTACTTTTCCAGCTGGCTGGCCTGGGCCCCCCAAGCATAAACTAAATTAATTTAACTCTCAAATTCCTCAGATGCTTTACCCTCTCTTCTGAGTATCTCTCAGATTTTTTAAAAAAAAATTCCATTGTTTACAAAGGACTTCTTAGCCTGGCCAACCATAGACATCAAGGTGATAGCCTCCTCGCAGAACCCTTAGTGACCCAGAGAAGGGCCACGGAATATTTTATTTTCTTCCCTTCTTGCAATGCCCTTGACTGGTTTCTTTCCTGCACTACTTGCTTTACCTTAAACTCTTTAAAAAATATTTTTTATGTTTATGGATGTTTTGCTTGCGTGTATTTCTGTGCACCATGTGCGTGCCTACAGAGGCCGCAAGTTATTGGATCCCGAGACTGAGCCACAGACAGCTGTGAGCCACCATGTAAGTGCTGGTTATCAGGCCTGGCTCCTTTGGGAGGAGCAACCAGCGCTCTTAACCACTGAGGATTTCTTCAGCCCTGGTGCTTACCGTCTTGAGAGCTAAAACATCCGAAGTCCACGGTTTCACTTCATACAACTCTGGGCTAACCTAAGATCTATAATTACTATCGCATTTATTTTTTTCCGTGCAGTATTTGCATATTTAAAATTAAAAGGTTCTGTCAGGCATGATGGCCTGGAACATGTCCATAGTTCTAGCACTTGGGAGGTGGAGACAGGAGGATCACCAGGTGGAGGCTAGCCTTGACACACAGTGAGTCTG